GAGGACGCGAGTGCTGAGGGCGGCGCTCTGCCAGAGGAGCTTGAGCTGCTGGGTTTCGAGCCGCTGCGCTCGAAGCACCGCGGCCAGGCTGTCGGCCATGCGCACGACGCGGCGCGCGGCGGCGACGAGGAGGCGCTGCTGCGGGCGGCCCGTATGCTGCACGAGTGCCGCGCGGCCGCGGGGGCGCTGGAGGCGGCCGACGGCGCGCTTGGCGGCGCGCCAGATCGCGCGGGCGGCGGCGCGGGCGCGGACGCGGGGGCGCGGCGGCTGGCGGCGGAGGCGCGCAAGTTCATGCGGGCTGCCAGCGGCGACTTTGACTCGCTGCCGGCGCAGCAGCAGGGGCCCTCGCAGCAGCAAAGGCCCTTGCAGCAGCAGCTGCAGTACCAGCAGCAGCAGCAGCAGCAGCAGCAGCAGCAGCAGCAGAGCCCCGCCGGCGACGCGATGGACGTTGACGCGCTGCCGCCTCCCGCTGCAGGCGCCCCGCCCTCACAGCAGCGGGCGCAGCAGGGGCATCGTGAGCAGCCGCTGGAGGACGACGGCATTGAGGAATACGAGGAGGATAGCGAGGACCAGATCGAGGAAGAGGATGAGGAGGTGATTGTGTTCCGGCCCCAGCTGCGCCGCAGCGCGCCCAGCGACACAGGCCCAGCCGCCGCAGCCGCCACGGCGCCGCCTCCGGCTGCGGCGCCCTCCTCGCACCACGCCAGTGCCGCGATGGCGCTTGCGGCGGCGCAGGCGGCGGCGGCGCCGCCGCCTCCTTTGCCGCAGCAGCTGCTGCAGCACCGGCAGCAGGGGGCGGCAGCAACATCGCCGCGCTCAGCGTCGCCCCTTCCCGCGGCAGAACGTCCCGGCGCGCCCGGCGGCGGCGGCGCGCCTGCGGCGACGGATGCTGCTGCTGCCGGCGCCGCCGCTGCTAGCGGTAGCGCAGCGCCGGCTGTCAGCCGGCGCACGTTGGGGCCGATACCGCTGTCTGTTGTGATCGCAGCGGGAGTCCCCTCCACAGGCGGCCTGGGGCAGCAGCAGCAGCGGTACAATCCACAACACCTGCAAGATGGGCAGGATCAGCCGCAGCAGCAGCAGCAGCAGCAGCAGCAGCAGCAGCAGCAGCAGCAGCAGGCTCAGGTGTCGACAGAGCACGAGCTCCAGCAGTCTCACGCCGCCTCAGCCCTCTTGCTTGCTCGTCTGGCAGCTAGGGGCGGCGGCGCCGGCAGCGCTGGCGTTGGGGCCCCGCCACTGCCGCTGCCGGTATCGACCCAGCAGCAGCAGCAGCAGCAGCAGTACACATACGCATACGTACATCAGCAGCCACAGCAGCAGCAGCAGCAGCTGATTCCTCAGGCTCCTCAGCAGCAGCAAGCATTTGACCCTTACTCCTTCCCTCAGCAGCAGCAGCAGCCGCAGGAGCTGTTTGCCTACCCACAGCCCTCGTCGCCTGGCACCGCGCTCGCGGCCGCGGGCGTCGCAGCGTTCGTGGCAGGCGGCGACCAGTTCGGCGCACCCCACCTGCACGCCGCCGCCGCCGCCCTGCAGCCCGCGCATTTCCAGCAGCAGGCTGCCGTGCACCACCACCACCACCAGCAGCAGCAGCAGCAGCCGCAGCACCAGCAGGCGCCGGTCCCAATGGAGGACGACGGGGGGCTGGGCGACATCGACCTGATCATGGCTAGGAATCGCGCCAGCCTGGAGCTTGAGCAGACCGCCCACGCCACCGCGCTGCACATCCTCTCGCCGGGCGCATATGAGAGCGAGCGGGCCGCACTCTCGGCGATGTCGCAGGCGTCCAAGCGCGCGGCGGAGGCGAGGGCGGCCGCCGCTTCCACTGCTGCAGAGGAGGAGCGTGCGAGACAGCAGCAGCAGCAGCAGCAGCAGCAGCAGCAACTGTGGCTGCGGCCACCACCGCAGCAGCAGCATCAACAGCAGCAGCAGCAGCAACAACAGCAGCTCCTGGGCCTGCAGCCGCAGCCACAGCAGCAGCATCTGCAGCAACAGCAGCAGTTGCCGGGGCGCAACGCAGCGGCTCTCCTGCAGCAGATCGCCCCAGCCGCGCTCGCGCGTGGCGGGCCGGGCAGCGGGAGCGGGCGCTCGATCCTGGCAAACAGCGGCGCCAGCAGCCTGGTGGGCACGCCGCGCTCAAACGTGTCTGGTCATGGTCCCACAACCTTCGGCCCGTCCTCGGCGGCCGCCGCCACGGCGGCAGCCGCGCCGCCGCCGCTGCAGGAGCACCCGGCAGCGCATGTTGAGGTGCTGCGACTCGGCTCCGGGAGCATGATGCCGCTCCCGCTGGCCGGCGCGCCCGGGCTGCAGCCTGGCGGCACGGGCGGCGGCGGCGGCGGCGGCGGCGGCGGCGTCACCACCAGCGGCAGCTACGCCATGTTCGGGGGCCCCGACCTGTTCTCCAACGCGCTGCCCGGCCTCTCGCGCCACCGCCGCGTGAGCAGCGGCTTTGGCAGCGGGCGCTCCAGCGCCGCGGACAGCGACGGGGGGCCCGCGCGGACGAGCTCGCCGGGGCTGAGCCTCTTGGAGCACCTGGCGGAGCAGCAGCAGCTGCAGCAGCAGCTGCAGGCACAGCAGCAGCAGCAGGCACAGCAGCTGCAGCAGCAGCAGCAGCAGCATCCCTTGGCGCCGCCGCCGCCGGACCCATTGTCTGGCGGGCTGTTTGCATTTGGGGAGGCGCTGTTCCCTGCCGGCAGGGGGCCCGGCACGATCCTCCCGCCGCGCGACGCGGGCGGCACGTACAATCCCTTCGCCTGAGGCCGCGCAAACCTCCAGGCCGGCACCTGCTTGCAATTCCAGTGTGCCGATTTGCGTCGCCTGATTCGATTCTGCTAACGGTCCGCCCGCTGCTGAGACACGCGGCGAGCGGCGATCCCTGGCCCTTTCGGTCCTGTCCACGAGCAGCTTGCTGCATGCCGAGCCTCACCCCCTCGCTGCGCTTCGTAATGCGATTACTCGTGCGTCCTCTCTAGGAATGCAAGTGATGTGCAAGAAGCTACTGGGGCGCCGATTGGAGGCGGTCGGGGCGCCCTCTATCGCAGGCGGGATGCTGCACAACACAGGCAGTGGAAACTTGAGTTGCAGCGGGAAAAGAGCGACAAAACAACCAAAGACAGCAGCCAGTGCCAAAGGACTCGAATCGCGCCTTTCACAGCAGACAGCCGCGAAAAGGATTGCGCACCGCTGCGGGCGGGAGAGGGAAGGCAGCAAACACGGCTGCGGCCGACAAAATTGCGCCTGTCACTGCACTCCCTGCATGCCAACGATAGCCTTGGTCACCACGTTGGTGGCCTGCATGGAAAAGTGATGAAGAGTGGGTGAACGCAGTCGACATCAGGGTGGGGTTTGGGGGTTGTGGCGGGAGCTCTGTGCACGCGGTGGCTGTGAGAAGGGGGCAGCCAAAGCTTGTCGGGTGTTTGTTCTCATGTCATGTGGGGCGCCACCTATGCATGGCTTACAGCTGCTGCATCACGTCAGCTGATAATCATTCACACTGCCAACAGCAGCATTGTCACATGCTCAAACGTCAGGGATGTGACAGGGACGCCCCTGCCTAGGACGCATCGACTCACGTCTTGATAGCGGTCCATGCATCTGGACAGACACTTCTGCTCGCCGCTGCTGAGGCTGCTGCCGGGGCTGGTCACACAGACCTTGAAGCACTTGTCCCGAACGGTCTGTGCGGGGGCGTGCCAAGCGGCGAGGCTGTGGGCACAGGGAGGTGGCGTGCTGCAGCGCGCCAGCAGTGCCGCTGCACGAGGGCACGTCGATGCAGGAGCGGCGGCAGCAGCAACTCAGTGCTTCCACTGACGCGCTCTAGTCGCACCTGATAGAACTCCTGGACGTACTGCATCCTAAGGGTCGTTTGCACCTGCGGACAAAGGCTCCGGTGAGGGCCGCGGGGCCTCCAGCAACTTAAGGCGATCTGGAGGCAACGCGCACCTCCTCCATGACCCTTGACTCATCGTCTCCACCCATGCTCGCGATGGACCCCCCGTGCGAGCCGCTGCCCCCGAAGCTCATGAATGTGCAGTGGTGATCGGCACGCTGTGCAGGAAAAGGGGCCTCACAGCGGCCGAGATACCCTGTTGTGGATATATTATGGTCCCGCGACGAAATCCGGGTCGCCAGCACGCGTCACGGCCTCTGAGCAAGTGTTGCGGTTGGCTAGTGGACGCGTGGTGCAGAGTGTGAAATGCTTCGCGCGTACAATGAGCACAGCTCGTAACACGCACTCGCAGAACACTACGCATGCCAACAAAGCGCAAGTCCCACGCCAGCGACATACCTGCTCCGTGCACCGTGGCCAGGGTTGCAAACCAGGCTGGTCAACGCCCTGGTCAAACGCGGGTCCAAGGACAATCATGCTGAGTCCTGCACACTGTGCATTGCAGTGGCTAGATCTGATTCACATGCTGCGGTGCACCACCTTGGTCCAGAACTCTGTGGCCAACCGCTTGTGTGTGGTGCGAGCGAGTGACGGCACAAAGGTGGTGTACCGCACACGCTGTGCACGGACCGAGCAGGCAAGAGTGCCGCGCCACTCTGCCGCCGTGCTTGTTCAGCTGGAGGGCACAGTTTAAATGTTTCAAAGCCCGTGGCCTGGCAGAGGGGCATAACGCGCTGTTGGGTCCTCCGGCTACTCCCCCCCCCCAACCCCCCCACACCTGGGCTCCCCCTCGAGACGACATACGAGCCGGGCGCAAGTGGTGTTGGCAGTCGTCCAGGCATGGTAGTGTAGCTGCACCTGCGTCATTAATGAGCGCTCTGGCGAAGTTCCCACTTTCGCGACCAACTCCATGCTGGTCGCATGGTGCGGCGTCGCAGGATGGGAGCTCAACGGGCACTGGTGCTTGCCAACGCCTTTGATAACCTGGATCTTCATCGGAGACGGTCTTATCTGAAAAAAAACTTTCCTGCTTATAATAAATGAGGATAGGCGCTGGCTTATCAGCGCGCAACGACCACTTGGTTGGCCTCCGCACTGCCCGGAACACATTTAGACTTGCAGATACGATAATATCTTTCCAATCGCATAGTGTAGTAGTGCCTCGAACGGCCAGCGCCAGCGGTTGGACCTCAACCCAGGCTGCTCGATCGTTGCACAAACGCCTGTCCGGGCCACCTTACAACCGACGTTGCTCGAGCCCGGCTCGAAGGCGCTACAGGCCTGCCCGGCGCGTGTACTACAACCGCCCCCCGGGCGGTCACGCGGGGCGTGAAAATGGCGCTCATTGCGCTGCTCTCCGCGGCCGCGGCGTCCGTCGCGGCCAGCCCGGCGACCGTCGCGGCGCTGATAGCGCCGTTGGTGGTTCTGCTGGCTGCGCGGTGGTGGAAGGCGGCGACGCTAGACCTCTACAAGCTGCCCAACGCGCCCGGCACTTGGACCTTCCTTGGTGGGTGTCAAGGTTGGGGCCGCCCCTGATGGCGCCCGCCGCCACGTCCCCACGCTCGCACGCCGCACTGCACTTCTCCGCCAAACTCGCGCTTCTGGTCGTTTGTTGCGAAATTCGACGGCGCCCGCCGCGTCGCGCGGAGCACCTTGGACGAGCCGGCGACATGCGAGCGCCCCGGGCAGCAGCCGCCGCGGCCGCGCGCGCCAACGGGCTGCCCGCCGAGGCCGCTGGCGAGCCCCTAAACTGGCGCCAGGCACGAGTCGTAGCCTTTCCCCCGCCCCCATCAGCCGGGCTCGGCGGCAGCCCCTAGCGCCCCTGCTGCCCAGGCCGCCTGCGGGCGAGCGGGAGGGCAACGCCCCCGGCCTCCGCCTGAGGGCAGGGGTGGATCCATCGACCGACGGCGCACATGCCGGACTCCCCGCCCAACCCTCGCTCCCAGGCATCCTGCCTGACTACTGGCGCCACCACGACGTATCTGCCCTACAGCTCAAGTGCGCGGGGGGACGGGCGGGCGGGCGCCACACCGCCACGGGTCTCTGGTTGCTCCTCTGCTGCTGCTGCCCCTGCTGCCTCTGCTGCTCCTGCTGCCCCTGCTGCGCGTACGCACGCGTGCTGCCCCAAAAGGCAGCTGCCAGCGCGCAAATGGCACGCACGCGCACTTGCACACACTCACATTCACACACAGGATCCCCATGCTCCCCCTCACCCCCCCCCCCCCCGGCAAAACCTCCGACCGGCAGGTACATGGAAGACGCAAAGGCAGGCCCCTTCCTGCGGTGCCGTGCGGCCCACAAGGTGGTGGTGATGGTGGCAGACCCGGCAGCAGCCGCAGAAGTTTTCTCAAGGTGAGAGCGCAGGCGCTCTGTGGGGCGGCACGGGTACGATAATCATGTATGGGAGGCGCAGGGCGTGTTCCTTGTGAAAGTTTGTGAAGGCGCGGCGCTCCTTCAAACATGGGTGACGGTGCCGAGCAGCGGGGCGGCGGCTGGCGTGGCAGGGCCGGGCCGAGCCCTGCGGCCGCGGCGGCGTCGGCGGCGGCGGCGGGCCGGTCAAGAGGACCGCAGTGGCTCTACGTCCTGTCTTGTCAAGCTCGTACATCTGCCAGACACCAGCGGTGGACAATCGACCGTGCAACGCGGCCCCTTCATAATCACCATCATCACCACCATCATCACCATCACCATCACCATCAATGACCATTCCCCAGGTCTGGCCCCAACCGTGTTGAGCGCAAGGTGCCCGAGTATGCCAATTTCGACATAGCCACGGGCCTGCACGGGCACCACAGGTTGGCGCGCGTGGGCGCGCGCGCGTATGTGTGTGTGTGTGTGTGAGAGAGAGAGACAGAGTGTGTGTGTGTGTGTGTGCGTGTGTGTGTGTGGGGGGGGGAGGATGGCTTGGGGTCAGGCAGTCCTGCGGACTGCCGTGGGGGACGAGGAGCCATGGGGTCGGGCCGCTGCCGCATGACCCTGAGAGTGGGAGGGTCCTGTGACCAGGCCGGCGCCGCGGCACGGCGCAGGACAGGTCCCCCTGCGTTGATAGCACCATTGCACTCAATGCTTGGAAAGCAGCTTCTCAATTGCTTGAACAGCTGCGAGCGCCATTCCTTGTTCTGCCCGGACCCTCGCCGATCCCGTCCAACCCCCGTCTGCCGCCGCAGCATCCTGACGGAGCAGAACGAGCCGCGCTGGATCGCGGTGCGCAAGGCCCTCGCACCCGCATACGGCGCCGCCGCCATCCGGTGGGCCACCCGCGGTACTTGTGCGGGCGGCCTGGCAGACACTGCCACAGTCCTTGGGCATTCGTACTGTGGCCCCTGTGCTAGCAGTGTACTTCCGAATCAGCGAAACCGACTCCACCCGCACCCTCGTGGGGCGTGCAGATTACGGGCCCTCCTGGTAGCCTTGAACCATCAGCCGGGCCCCTCACACCCTCCAAACAACACGTCACAATCCCTCTCAATCTGCTACCTCTCACGTGCCACTCCCCCCTCCGCTTGTTTTCCCGACCCTCCCTCCTCAATCTCTTCCCAAAATCTCCCAAAGAACCCCTCCGACCCAGCGCGTGCCCCCCCCTCGCGCCATCCCACACCGCCTCCCCCAGCGACAACTGGCCCTGGATCATCAACACATACCGCACTATGGGCCGCCGCATCGCCGCCGCCATAGACGCCGCCGCCGCAGCGGACGGCTCATATGCGACCGCCGTCCTCAAGCCCGCCGCCCGCCCCGTCGTCACCGCCGTCGCCGGCCGGGGGTCGGACTCGTCCGAGGACGAGGCGGGGTCCGAGGTTGCGGCCGCGCCCCAGATCGCGGCAGGGGTGTCCGAGGTTGGCGCGGATGTGCACATCGATCACTTGGCGCTGGCGGCGTCGATCCAGATGCAGGCTGAGGGGCTGTTCAGGATGCCGCCGGATAAGAAGAGCAAGATTGACGACCTGCAGGTGTGTGTCTGTATTGGTGTGTGTTTTGTGTGTGTGTTTGGTTGTGTGTGGGTAATCATACGTTTTTCTGTGGGCATGGGTGCGTGTGGTTTGTGCTTGTGTTCATGGGAGTGTGCGTGTTTGGATGTGTGTGTGTGTGTGTGTGTGTGTGTGTGTGTGTGTGTGTGTGTGTGTGTGTGT